AGAAAAGAGGTTTAATTGACTCACAGCTCTGCAGGCTGTACAGGAAGCACAACTTGGGAGGCCTCAGGAAACTTACAATCATGGCAGAAGGTGAAGGGGAAGTAAGCATGTCTTACATGGCCAGAGAAGGAGGAAGAGAGAGAGGGGAGCGGTGCCACACACTTTGAAGCAACAAAATCTTGTGAGAACTCACTATCATGAGAACAGCAAGGAGGATGTCTGCCTCCATGATCCAATCACCTCCTACGAGCCCCCTCCTCCAATATTGAGGATTACAATTCAACATGTGATTTGGGCAGAAACACAAATTCAAACTATATCAGGTGACCAACTTGTTCCTGTTTGTCTATAAAAATGGAAAATATTTTTCCCATTTTAGAACTGAAAACACCTTGTTCTGGAAATGCTCTCCATTCACAGGAAAACAGGAACAGTTGATACCCTAGATCCTGAGCATTCAGATCACATTCCCATAGTAAGTGTATGTTTGTGTGTGCATGTGTGCACTTATTGAATCAGATTTATAAACTACTATATGACACATCCATCAATTAACATTTTGGGGTGTACAATTGTTTAATCAGATATTATCTATCTGTTTATGCCATAATTAAGTCCATAAATTTTCAACTTGTCAAAAAATATGTCATGAGGGGCTTGTTTTTCTGACATCAGGATATAAGAAATTAATATATCAGTTGTGCCATTGCAACAGACACATTAAAAATGACATAAATGTCATAAAATAATATTTTTGAAAATTTGACAGAAATTAATATTAAACTCTCTGTTCAATAGAATATAGAACCTCCTAGGCCTATAGGCCTCTTTTCAATTTACTATCATTTACTTTTTACTTTACTATCAGTTTTGTGCTTTTAAAGAATACGTGGCTTTGCAATTTAGGCAGAACTTGTGTTAAATCTTGTATCTTCCACTTGTACAAGTCATAACCTCTATTTCAAGCCATTCTATCTTTCATTTCCTCTATAAAGTTGTGCTTTTTTGAAGACTTATATTTAATTGAGATAATACATGTAAAAGGTTTGATCCATAGTATATGTTCAATAAACATTAGTTTACTTCCTTCATTTTTAAAAAGCTAGTACCATGTTTGGCCATATCCTGTTTTGTAATCTTCTCATAATTCTTTTGTAATGATTGACGATGGTTTTGTAAAAATATAGGTCAGCTAGTGATATGACAGATAGGACAGTAATTTATAAAGCAAAACTTTTATTTTCATAACACTAGTGCATAAAATACTAATAACAAATGTATCTGATTACTGCCTAATGTGAGACTAAGGATTGAATACTATTCTGTGCTCTTTCATTTTCATTCTGAAAATGAAAACATTTACTTGAGGTGTGAATATGCTTTTGATGACAATAATGAATCCTTTCTTTCATGTTCATACTAAACTATTTTTGAATATTATTTAAATACTGGTGCATCTTAACAAGCTGACTCTAATTACAGTACACTAAGTCAAGGTGCCAGCCCCTGATTGATTAATTACTTGGTTGACTTGACTGAAGTTTGTCAAAGTTAACTCTCAGTATATTTGTAGAGCCAGTAATGAAAATGAGTGGGGGATACTAAATACAAATACTAAATAAAATAAGATATTAAAGATATGTTTAGTTTATACAAACTTCTCATTTTAAAGAAGAAACAAAAAAGTAAGTGTCAGAAGGAGCAGTCCCAAAATCACACAGAGATTTAGCAACAATTAGGAAAAAAATTAAGAATCTTGGCATCCTAATCAACACTGTCTCCACCACATTTTATATTTTATAAAAGAGATTCAGTGAGAAGCTTGAAAACAATGTCTTTTTTTCCAATATTCAGAACACATAAATTTTTTTCAAGAAAATTTGTATTCTAAAATTATCAAATACAGGGTCACTAATTAGCAGAGTGGAAGGATACAACTACATTCTCGTTGGAACAATTCTATAGGAGTTACTCTACTAATTGGGTTTTAGGGGTTGTTGCCCTGGCCAGTTGACTGCTAACCCCTGCAGACAATGGTATTATGTGATAGGTATCTATTCTTACTCCTTGTCCAGTTACATTAATTGACTGATGGTGATAAATCTTTATTTAATCACATCACGAGAAATAAGAAAAATGGTCTATTTTAGAACATCAGAATAAGAGCCTTTTCCCAATGCAAACCAAGAGGATTGTAGCTCAAAATATTTATCATTATCTTAAAAAGTGATCTTCTTAATGAATATTGTAATTGAATTTAGTACCAGTAACCAGAAGAAAATTATACAAATTTAGTTATTAAAGGAGATTATGTTTACATTCTCCAAGAGCGTTGTACAAAGTTGCAATGAGAACTAAGAAAATACAGAGAGAAGAAAAAAGGATGCATTACTGAAATTCTCAACAGAAAAAAAACAGACCAACCTGGACCTGAGAAGAACAAGATGAAGGCTGAGGGACCCATGAGAAGGGTGGCGTTGGGGGGATGTTGGTGAAATTCACCAAAAAAATGGATTTTGGGAGGCAGAGCAGCTTATTTGAAAAGGTTGGGTCATAAGGAGTATGTACTTTAGGTGTGTTAAAATCTTATTACATGAAGTTACATAAACTTATATTACTGAGGTGGGAAAGTTCAATAGACAGTATAAGTCATGGGCATTGAGATTAAGGTAGAGAATGCAGTTGCAGCAATATCTTCCAGAGTCACTGATATTTGCATGATACCATATTCTCACCATGTATCAAACCATGTATGTTATAATAAATTACCTTGTCCAGACTCTCCAGGGATTTGCTCATACTTCAGTAGAGGAAGCAGACAAATAAATCAGTGAAAATAGAGAGCGATAAAAATCATGGTAAAATAATATACAAATGTCCTCTGGGATCCAGAGGGAGAAATTGCCTCTAATTTGATATTAGAATGGAGCATAGAAATTTGTTCATTGCAGAGTGGTGGAAGAGCAGACCAGGGAGAAGACCAGAGTTGGTAAAGCCACGGAGGTGGAAAAGAAAACACAAAATTTTGAAGGAGCTCATTATGGATTCATCATAGATGGTAAAGAGTGAATCAAATAACATGAACTGAAGAGATAGCCAGTAGTACCTTGTGAAGGTTGTTGTTAGTCCTATAAAGAATTTGAACTTGTTTTTGTTGGGGCAGTCATTAAATCATTTTCATCAGAGAAGTGACATGATCAGATTTGTATCTCAGGAAGTTCAGTTAGGCTTTATGAGAAATGAACTAGAGGGAAACAAGTAGAAAGACTAGACAAGAGGCCATTTCAAAATCTAAGCAGGTGATGATCATGGCTTGAAACAAGAATTTTGATAGTTATTTAGGGGGTAGAATTAGTAGACTAGGTGAATGAACGAATATAAAGACCAGAGAATAATAATAATTCACATCTAAAACACAGGTTGTGGCATGATGGGGTCATTCATTGAGATAGTGATAACAAGTAACCAAGTAAAGAAAGAAGGATGTGATCTTGAACATACTGAGTTTGAGGTACTCATGAGAATCACGAGTTGTCACCTTGACATATGCATTTGGAACAAAGTACAAAGGCATGAGATGAAGTAAAGACTAGGAATTATTACTAAGCTTTAGTTTTTAGGGTTTTTTAAAAGCCTCAAAAGTAAATTAAATCTACTATGAAGAGCATGAAGAATGAGGAAAGAAGAGGTCTTCATGCAAAACCCTGAGAAACCCTAACATTATAGGCAGAGGTAGAGAAACAACCTGTAATGGATTTAGAGGAGGCATCTATGTATGAAGAAAACCAGAGAAATGTGGTGGTACAAACTTGAATATAGATAAAGTGGACAGTTGACTCTACCTTGAGGTGGAACAATACTGGGTAGATGTAATCAAGGAAATCTGGGGCAAAAATTTAAAAATTATGGTAAGATTGTTGCAGTGATCAGAAAATGGTAGCTAAGAGAGCCAAAGAAAGAAAGACATGAAGCAATAAAAAAAAGTGTCAAATCCCAGAAATTCTCAATAATGTCAAGATATAGGTAAAGAGAGTAACAGAGTATAAGAAAGATAAATATTGTGGTAAAGAGTTTTTTTCATATATATGCATTTAAAATTTCTACAAATAATGTATACATACATTCTTATTGAAAGCAATTCAGGACATACAGAACTACAAAGGGTGAAACATTAAAATGTCTCCTTATTGTCCTCATTATTAACCTTTTTCCCAAAGAAATCACTCTCAGCACTTTATCCTTTTGGAAAATTTCTATACATTTATACATACACACAGCTGTAAATGTTTTATTTGCACAAAAATGGATTGTAATATTCTGATAAAAGTCCATCAAGGTACATTGTTAATTGACTTTTTTCATTTAACAATATGTTTCAGTAAACTTTCATATCAGTATATTTTTATCTACCTTATTCGTATAAATAATTGCATGATATCCTGTATTATGCAATGACAATAATTTAGCCATTTCCTATTGTTGGGCAATTAAGTTATTTGAGAACTGAATTTAAATGAAATGTTTCAGAAGTAAAATAACACTGGGTAGTAGCAATGTTTAGGGTGAGGGCAGTGAGTGGATGGCAGAAATAGGGTGGGGGAGGCATTGGTGATAAAAACACAGAGAGGAAGTTACCAGTTGTTCAGTGGCTTAAAACAAGGGGTACTGAGGACACCTGGGGTGAAGACAGAAATGGAGCTGGGCCAAAGGGTGGTATGCTCTACACTAAAGGAAGCAATGAAAAAGGATGAATGACCAGGCATATGATAGATATTAATGATGAGGAGGTATTCAAATTATATGATTAGGTAAAAAGAGCTGCAAGAGTTATTTTTCTTTGTTATTTTTCTGACTAAGGTCTAAATAGAAATATCCTAGAAAAATCACTAGAGAGAGGGTAATGAGAATGATGACCACTTCTTTGACCTAGAGGCAAGGAAAATGAAGGAGAAAAAGAAACGTTCATTTGAGACGCATTTATTACAATTTTTATCCTTCAGGCACTTCCAGATATCTTTTAAGGCCTGGAAGGGGCAAAACAATTCAGGAAGCAGTTGAAGATAAAGAGGTTTACAATGGAAGAGAAGATCCAGGTGCCTTCAGGGAAATGCTTGTGGTTAAAAAGAGATGAAGATGAGCATCCCTGGAAAGAGGAAGAGCCAGCCAGGTACGGTAGCTCATCCCTGTAATTCCAGCACTTTGGAAGGTGAAGGCTGAGGCAGGAGGACCACCTGAGGTCAGGAGTTCAAGACCAGCCTGGTCAACATGGTGAAACCCTGCCTCTACTGAAAAAAAAAAATTAGCTGGGCATGGTGGTGGGTGTGTGTAATCCCAGCTACTCAGGAGGCTAAGGCAAGAGAATCACTTCAACCTAGAAGACAGAGGTTGCAGTGACCCAAGATCGTGCCACTGCACTCTAGCCTGGGTGACAGAGCAAGACTCCTTCTCAAAAAACAAAAAACAAAGAGAAAGAACCAAGCAATGTGGAGTTGAGAGAAGAGGCAGGATGTGAACAAGGGTGCTGGGAGTATGTGGGAGTATGAGGTGGTAGGTTGAGACAGCCTGCTGATTCCTCAACTTAGTCCTTCCATTGGCCAAGGAGGAAGTGGGAGTGAGCGGATTCAGGCCTCTTAAGTGTTATTCATGACCTGGAGAGAGGGTGCTCATGAGAAAATTCCGGTTACAGCAAAGAGGCTGACAATTGAAACCAGTCCCTGCAACTGCCACTTTGCACTAGAAATAGCGCCTCTCTCCTGCAGACGGCAATGATATAGGGAGCAGTGTCTCCATACCAGGGTCGTCTCTGCAAGTGATTCTCCCAGTCTGGGTGCAATTTCTTCATTTTAAAATAAGTGATTACACTAAATTATATCCATAGTCAAAAATAAAAGATTCCACATATTATCCTTTAGTGCATAAAATTTTCTTTCTTTTCCTTTTTTAGGAAAATTATACCATCAGCAAGACTGGCATCAGCAAGTAGTTCGCAGTGTTGATTGTTCTTGGTTTCGTAGGATTTTATAGGAGGTATGGCACTTATTTAAATGGATTTGTTTCTTTGCTACTCCTATTCCATGTTGGCTAGACAGCTTTCCTTGGGGTCTCTCATCTATTTCAGTGCCATTCCATTCATCACTCACAAATCATTAATTTGCCTGTGTTGTGTTACCTCCTGAGATTTTCTGTTTCTGAGTCAATAGAGTTGAGAGCTAATGTACATTTCACAAATATTGCTGGGAAAAGGGCTTAGAGCAATAATTGAAGAGACTTTCTATTTTAGTATTGTATATACCATAATAACTCATTCCTTTTATATGAGCGTGGAAGAAGGGAACTGCCAGATTAGAGGCAAGTGCATCAAAATCATTCCTCCATGTATTCAGTCAGACAGAGTTATGTTCAGCTGAACTTAAATCATAAGCAGTTATTGACCACCAATAATATCCTTAGCATTGGGCTTGGCTAAGATAATGGAAGGAACATGAAACATGGTTTTTCTCTCAAAATAGTCACAATTAGTTGGAGAGACCAAAAACAACCATATAAACAGATAAATAAAGATCAAAAGTAAATAATATTAATTGTTAATAAAAGAAAAGGTATTACAAAGCAGAACTTAAGGAACAAATAAATTATACAGATAGGAATTGCCATAGACTTTGAAAGGAAATGGGGATATTTCAGGCCATAATAAATAGTGAAGATTTTAAGGTAAAGTTTAGTGTTAGATCTTAGTGTCTTGAGTATATAGCTTAAAGTATAGGCAGGATTTGAACATATGAACAGAATTAGGAAGGAGCTAAGCAAGGTGGCTGTTTGAGAAAGATCTGAACAAACACATTACAGTGAGAAATAGCACTGTACATTTGCAGTAGAGGACATATGAGTGGAAGCATTAGGAGTTGGAGTCAGATGATGGAGGCTACGGGAGATAAGCCTGAGGGTTTTGGTTTACTCTATAAGCAGTCTTTGTTCAGGACAAGGGAAATAGAACTCTGATACAGAGAGACATTGTGAGTGTCAATAAGGAATGAATAGAGCTTGAAAGCAAGAAGACCATAAGATTGATGAGAATAGAGCAAAGTCCAAGGGAATAGGCCTGAACAGATGCAGTACAGTGGGAAAAGGTGAAAGAAACCCTGGGAAGAGGAGGACTGACTCACTCACAAATGCCTATCCTCTTTCTGCTTCCTACACATTATTCTCAGAGCCATTGTACTAGTTGATCTCTCCATCTGCCATAATCTTCTTTCATAGCTTTGCATAGTTTTTTTTTTTTTTTGTCTTTCATGCTCTCAAAAAACTGTCTGTAAAAGTGCCATACATTTTCTATCACATTCCACTGTCTTATTTTCTTCCTTATTCTTCATTCGTTCATTTTTTTTGCTTGCTTATAGTAATATGGCTCCCTTGAAAAAGCGTAAGCTCTTTGGGAGGCTGAGGCAGGAGAAGCACTTGAACCTGGGAGGTGGAGGTTGCTGTGAGCCGAGATCATGACACTGCACTCCAGCCTGGGCGACAGAGTGAGACTCCGTCTCAAAACAACGATAACGACAACAACAAAGTGTTATTAATCACTGCTAGTCACCTGGAGTACATTAGTCATGCTGTTCTCTTCTTCCTACCCTTTTGTAAGGAAGTCATTCCACCTGTTGCAGAAACAGGATAACCTATGCTCAACCCTCCTGCTTAGAGGGTGTGGATGGTCTTGAACTCTAATTCTTCCAAATAAGGTTGCATTGGTGGCTGTTCATGAGACTAAAACACAAGCATGCTGAAATGTTCCAGATGCCTTCTATCCAATATTTTATTTGTAACCTGCATAAGGGATGTAAATAAAACTGACTTTTATCTTGATTCAGTCACTCCTCAGTTAATCACAAATGCCACAAATCACAAATGCAAGAGTTCAAACAAACAGAACTCTTGCCTACAAAGTTCATAACTGTGATCTGCAGCACCCAAAATAACAGCTGGCACACAGTAGGTGCTTAATAAATACTTGTTGATGAAGGAATGGCAGTGAGAAAAAAAGGTGCAATGATGTAAACATCATTTCTGAAGGCTGTAATTCACATTATTATCATATGTGTAATGTGTAATGATGAGTCTGTGCTTAAAGAATTCCAAATTAAAGTCTTGATGCCAATGACTAGCCGAAAATATTACCCCTAGGAAAATTAAATGTTGTACCAAAAAATAAGAATATTTATTCCATTAACTTAAGTGCCCATAGGACTGGTGTAGAATTCCTTCAAATTTATTGAAAGAATGCTTCAGACAGGTTCTAATATACTAGCAGCAGTATCTCTAAGGTCTCCTTCCTTCCAATGCCAACACTCTTATGATTTTAAGTTACTGGTTTCATAATCCAAATCAATATTATTTTTATATAAGTACTCAGCAAGGGTAGCCACACACTTATTCCACTAAAACTTCAAATATCTAATATTTATGAATGTTACCATGGGGAACAATATTCATAGCCTGTTTCAAGAACCACATAATTAAATATATCTCATAACTTTATATGCTTCAGTTTTTGTTTAAAGTTTTATGAGAGAAACCACTAATTTTTTAAAAAAACACACATTGAGGCACTTGTTAAGACTGAATCAAATTTCTTTAACATAATCTAACACTGTGCAGTGATAAGTTAGAAGTATAAATTGAATTTCATGTTAAATTGTGCATTTGTGATTAACTGAGGAGTGACTGAATCAAGATAAAAGTCAGTTTTATTTACATCTCTTATGCAGGTTACAAATAAAATATTGGATAGAAGGCATCTGGAACATTTCAGCATGCTTGTGTTTTAGTCTCACGAACAGCCACCAACACAACCTTATTTGGAAGAATTAGAGTTCAAGACCATCCACACCCTCTAAGCAGGAGGGTTGAGCATAGGTTATCCTGTTTCTGCAACAGGTGGAATGACTTCCTTACAAAAGGGTAGGAAGAAGAGAACAGCATGACTAATGTACTCCAGGTGACTAGCAGTGATTAATAACACTTTGTTGTTGTTGTTATCGTTGTTTTGAGACGGAGTCTCACTCTGTCGCCCAGGCTGGAGTGCAGTGTCGTGATCTTGGCTCACATCAACCTCCACCTCCCAGGTTCAAGTGATTCTCCTGCCTCAGCCTCCCAAATAGCTAGAATGACAGGCATGCTCCACCACACCTGGCTAATTTTTGTATTTTTAGTAGAGATGGGGTTTTGCCATGTTGGCCAGGCTGGTCTCGGACTCCTGACCTCAGATGATCTTCCCGCCTCAGCCTCCCAAAGTGCTGAGATTACAGGCATGAACCACCATGCCTGGCCAAAAAATTGCTACTTAATCTAAGCAGAACTAAATTAGGTAGAAAAGTCAGAAACCTAATTTTGATTGCAAAAGAGTTTGCTCTTATTCATTCACTGCTATATGAAATATTTTTAGCAGAATTCTAAGCATGCCAGGATGATGTTTAAAAGGAAACTTAAACAATCCTTTTACAGAGATAACTGTGAGCTAAATTCACAGAAAGCTGTAATCGAGTGGTATGAGCATCTTCACTAAGAACATTATTTGAGAAGTATGGAGGTAGGAAGAATGATAAAGGAGAAAAAGAAAGAAATAGCTCAATAGGAAGAGAATATGGAACAAGCAAATCAGGGTTGAAAAAGGACTGTGTTTAACTTTACAATTTCGCTTCTAAAAGTCACTTTCTTTCAAAAAACAAAAACAAAAAATAAGGAAAATAACTATAAGCAGTGGTTCTCTTCTCCACTACAAGGTTCTGCAGTCTAGCTTAAGAAAATTCCCTTGATCTGGAAATAAGTTAGATAAAAATCCCATGGGGTAAAACTATTGTGAAGTGATTATGAGCTTTCTCTCCTAAAAGGACCAGCCACCAAAGTGTACAATAGCACAATCAGCTCAGCCTCTGTGAACTGCTTCAGGCGTGTCTCAGTGGATCCAGTGTAAGTGTTTTTACCATCGGGGAAAAAATGGTATTCCTTAGAAAATGAGGGTTCCACAGACTATTTAACATAGACATGAGAAGTGCTACAAGGCAGAAGAAGAAGTTATGGCTTGACCCTGTTAGATGATCTTCTGAGGTGTTTATTAATAAGTGATAGGTTGTGTTTTTTTTTCAATGATATAGCAAGGATTTTTATCTTTTACAAGATATCAAAGGAGTTTGACTCTCATTTTCCCTGTGGATATTTGGTGGAGAGTCTCTAGATTATGGTGATAACAACACCTTAGATATTTATTCAAGAAGTGCCCCTTGTCCCTTCCTTCAGAGAATTCACAAATCTTTATTCAATTCTATCAGTCTCTGGCAAGGGAAATGCCATTTAGTCCAGTGAACAATTAATAAATGGTGCTCAGTAAGTGCTAGTTGATGATAATGATAATGATAATAATGATATGATGATGATGATGGTAATAGACATCTTGATTCAAAAATAAATATGTGTAATGTATCTGTATATGTGTTTATGTATATATGTAAATATACATGTTTCAAATGCTCTTCAGCCTTGAAAATGAAGATTGCACATTTTTCTTTACCATATGTAAAGGAATGCTTTCAGTTTCTGGTTTCCTATGTAAAAATTCTAGAATATTTTATCATCAATGCTTGCACTTAGTTTTAATGAGCAGTCATTTCTCAGCTGCATATAAAATGCTTCAGTAAAATAAATAGAAAAAGTTATTAGTCTTTAGTTCTTGGTGCAAAAATGATTTTCCCCAAAATTGTAAGGATTAGAAAAGTATGGTAAAATAGTAGATTTTTAACTCCTATCCAAGCCATTAATCTCTTCTCAATCTTTAGGATTCTGTAAACTTTAACATGTACTGAGTTTACTCTTGAATACTCACAATCACTTACTCTCCTTCAAGCTCTCTCAGCCACAAATAAGATAGACAGCTTTCATGTGTGGTTGGGAAATTTCCTCTTGTAGGATGGAGTTGTGCAGGCAAGAAATAACTCTTAAGATAGTCTGGGGAATGAGTCTAAAACATGGGCAGACAGAGG